AGGAGGATCGCTAATTTTCCTAGATATTGCCAGACACCCTCCGTGGTGTACCATTTTTACCAGCAATGAGTGAGAGCGCAGAGGGAATCTTTTTAGTATCATTGAAGTAAAATAGATGCTGCTTTGTCAAGAGTATAAACATTCTCCTGGCAGAAAATGTTGAAGTAGTCATAGACGTATTGTTTTATAGGCAGGGTAATTGGATGGAAGCAATGGTGATATAGATTAGGAGGAAGAGTGATGGATGACTTGTAGACCCAATAAAGTGCTGAAGGACCCACGCTGTCTCTGCAGAAGACCTTGACATATGAAGGGCCTCCTCCTTCTCCTTTGTAGAGCAGGAGGGCAGTCTGCTTCTCAGTCTGTCAGTCATTTGTGTCTTGTACACAGAATGAGCACAGTGTCTATAAATAGTACGTACGTGCTTAAACAGATTGTGTAATTTTTTCCAGCAAATTGAAAGATAAAATATCTGACTGGTCTGATGGGTATCTTCTTTCCATTTATTTTCTTTCCCCTAATTTTACTAATGCATTCTTTCACTGGTTCTATCACTCAGGTAAGTACAAAATACAGCCTTAGCTTGGGGATTGGGAGTGAGATTGAGATGGAAAGAGTAGATTTGGGATGAAGGCACCAAAAAGTGAGGTAAGGTTGAATGGTACTGAATCTAGTTCTTCAGTTCTCATCCTCTCTGATTTTTACCTTCATTTGGGAGCTCTCCTTTGTTAGCTGTCATGAAATATAACCTCCCAGATCTCCACTGACTTCTTTTTTAAATTTTATTTTTAATTGACAAGTTAAATTATATATATTTATGGTGTACAACATGATGTTTTGCTTACTTGCTTCTCAAATCTCAGTTTTCCTTCCTTCCTTCCTTCCTTCCTTCCTTCCTTCCTTCCTTCCTTCCTTCCTTCCCTCCCTCCCTCCCTTCTTCCTTCCTTCCCTCCCTCCCTCCCTCCTTCCCCCTTTCTTTCTTTCTTTCTTTCTTTCTTTCTTTCTTTCTTTCTTTCTTTCTTTCTTTCTTTCTTTCTTTCTTTCTTTCTTTCTTTCCTTTCTCTCTTTCTTTCTCTCTTTCTTTCCTTTCTCTACATGCACCATGGGCTCTTCTTCCTCTCCCTGATTTAGAGCACAGGAGGCTTTAAAATACATAAAATATTAACTATCAGTTAATGTAGTTAAGTGCTTTTCCCTAAATAAAAAATGTAGACTAAAAATATATATGGAAAATACAAAAACACAATATATTATGGCCAGGTGTGGTGGCTCACGCACTTTAGGAGGCCGAGGCGGGTAGATCACCTGAGGTCAGGAGTTCGAGACAGCCTGGCCAACATAGTGAAACCGTCTCTACTAAAAGTACAAAAATTACCCGGGTGTGGTGGCAGGCATCTGTAATCCCAGCTGCTCAGGAGGCTGAGGCAGGAGAATCACTTGAACCCAGGAGGCAGAGGTTGCAGTGAGCCGAGATTGCACCACTGCACTCCAGCCTGGGTGACAGAGTGGGACTCCATTTCAAAAAACAAAAAAAAATAACAAATTACAAATGTGTGAAGCAGTAACTTAGTTCATATAATGCAATAACAGTATAGTAATTGTCTTAGTACATTTTGTGCTGCTATACAGGATACCCGAGACTGGGTAATGTATAGAGAAGAGAAATTATTCTCTTACATTCTGGAGGCTGGGAAGTCTAAGATCAATAGCTGGCAACTATTGTCTGGTGAGGGCCTTCTTGCTCCTCACGTGATGGAAGAGAGAAGGGCAAAAAGGAATAAACTTCCTTGGTGGAGTCCTCTTAAAATGGCATTAATTCATTTATGAAGGTGGATTCATCATGATCTAAACACCTCCCAGAAAGCTCCATCTCTCAATACTGTTGCCTTAGGGATTTGACTTCCAGCCTATGAATTTTGAAGGACACATTCAGACCATAGCAGTAATCACGATACACAGTTTTTGAGGACTCCAAACCAAGTACTCTTCCCCCTCCACCATAGACATTAGGTACTTAAAAGTTCTTAAGGTCTGTTGCACTTAAAATGTGTTAGCCTTTTTACTAGAGACAATTAACCTCAATAATAACAGAGATAAACAAACCAGTTTTCCATTAGAAATCATTCTGTATTTGTTGAACAAAGACCACAACTTCCTTCTGATGGTCTCAGTTGTTTTCCTGGTAAAGCTATGTAGCATGGCTGTTGGTTTTGTTTTGGTTCATCCAACTCACAAACCCACATTTCACTTTCCAAGGTGGCCAGAGACAACCCCAATAATGACAGAGATAAACAGACTAATTGTCTTTAGAAATCTTCCCAGGTTTGTTCACCAAAGACTGGATGTCCCACTATCACCTTACTTAACACAACCCCTCAAATTGATGCTAAGTGACTCAGCTTTTTTGTGTATCACACCATCATTTTGAAGTCTAGAAATCTTAATTTGTACTCTAACTCACCACTCTACTTCAATGTCAAATCTCAGTTTCTCCCTCCTCTTCCTTCCTTCCTTCCTTCCTTCTTTCCTTCCTTCTTTCCTTCCTTTCTTTTCTTTTCTTTTTTTCTTTTCTTTCTCTCTCTCTTTCTCTTTCTCTTTCTTTCTTTCTTTCTTTCTTTCTTTCTTTCTTTCTTTCTTTCTTTCTTTCTTTCTTTCTTTCTTTCTTCCTTCCTTCCTTCCTTCCTTCCTTCCTTCCTTCCTTCCTTCCTTCCTTCCTTCCTTCCTTCCTTCCTTCTTCTCTTTCTTTCTTTTCTTTCATCTTTTTTCTTTTTTTTGAGATGGAGTTTCACTCTGTTGCCCAGGCTGGAGTGCAGTGGCATGATCTTGGCTCACTGCAACCTCCGCCTCCTGGGTTCAAGTGATTATCCTGCCTCATCCTCCCAAGTAGCTGGGATTACAGGTGCCTGACACCACCCCCAGCTAATTTTTGTATTGTTCGTACAGACGGAGTTTCACCATGTTGGCCAGGCTGGTCTCAAACTCCTGACCTCAGGTGATCTGCCTGCCTTGGCCTCCCAAAGTGCTGGGATCCCAGGCGTGAACCACCACACTTGGCCCAAACCCAGTTTCTAATCATAGGATCACACGATATCAGAATTGGAACAGAATTCTTAATTCAGTCTAGCATCTCACATCAGTTCCCTTTCTCTGTGGTTCTGTACCCTCCCTTGCCCTAACCAACTTGCTCTGTCTGCAGGTCAGCGACTGTGGGGGCCACTGCTCTATCCAATGGGGAGCTTATGGCATGTGGTGTTTGGGTGACTTCTTCCTGACAGATATTTATTAACACTTCACACTGGGCAGGCGTTTAGTCAGCTTTGTGGCATTCTAACTTGCTGATATGGTTTGGGTGTTTGTTCTCTCCACATCTCATGTTGAAATGTGATTCCAGTATTGGAGGTGGGGCCTGGTGGGAGGCGACTGGATCATGGGGTGGATCTCTCATGAATGGTTAATGCCATCTCTTTGGTGATAAGTGAGTTCTTGCTTAGTTAGTTCACATGAGATCTGATTGTTTAAAAGTCTGGGACCTCCCCTTTCTCACTCTCTTGCACCCCCTCTGGCCATGTGAGATGCCTGCTCCCGCTTCCCCTTTGCTTTCTGCCGTGATTGTGAACTTCCTGAGGTCCTCACCAGGAGCAGATGCTGGAACCATGCTTGTACTGCCTGCAGATCTTTGACCCTCCTTTATAAATTACTCAGCCTCAGGTATTTCTTTATGGCTATGCAAACAGCCTAATACACTTCCAATCCCCTTGGTACCAAAACTAGATATCACAAGAAAAGAAAACTGTAGATCAATACTTCTTATGAATATACATGCACAAATTTTCAATAAAAAATACTATCACATTGAATCTAGGATTATACACCAAGACCAAATATGATTTATTTCAAAATGCAAAGTTGATTCAATATGCAGAAAAATCAATGTGATGCACTATATTAACAGAATAAGGACATAAAAAGAATGAAGCTCTGATATATGTTAAAACATGGATAAACCTTGTCTTATCCCATTTGTGTTGCCAGAAAGGAATACCTGAGGGTAGGTAATTTCTAAGGAAAACAGGTTGATTTGGCTAGTGGGTCTGCAGGCTGTACATAAGAAGTATAGTGCCAGCATTTGCGTCTGGTGAGGGCCTCGTGAAGACCCCACCCATGGTGGAAGGGGAAGAGGAGCAGGCATCACATGGTAAGAGAGGGGAAGGAGGTGTCAGACTCTTTTTAACAACTAGAGCTCATAAGAACTGAGTGAGAACTCAGTGAATCCCATGAGAATGGCACCAACCTGTTCACGAGGGATGTGCCCCTGTGACCCAGACATTTCCTACTTGCCCTCACCTCCAACGTTGGGAATCACATTTCACCATGAGAGTTGGAGAGGACAGTCAAACTGTTATCAAACCTTGAAAATGTTATGCTAAGGGAAAGAAGCTAGACACAGAAAAAAGGCTACATGTATGATTCTGTTCATCTAAGATGTCCAGAACAGGTAATCCTGTAAAGATGGAAAGTAGATTTGTGCTGGTTAAGGGCCAGGGGAAGCAGGGACTGGGGAATGACTGCTAATGGGGATGGGGTTTCTTTCTGAGATGATGAAAGTATCCTGGAAATGGTGCTATTAATGCATAATGTTGTGACTATACTAAAAACTGCTGAATTGTATAATTTAAAATGATGAATTTTATGGCTTGTGGATTATACTTCAATAAAAAAGAACTAGATAAGAGAAGAATTCTATAGTGCCTATAGCAGAATGTTTAAGGCAAGTAGATGGTAAAATAAATATGAGGTAATTGATGGATAACAAGAACTGCTGGAAATCTCTTTGTAGACCACAAATATAGCCATTGTTAAATAATAGGAGAGAAATGAGCTCCAAGGAGCTTAGTCCATGTAATCTCTAGGAAATTGTGTCCCAGGAGTTGTTTCTGGTAAAGACTAAATACTTCATGTCCATTGCTCCCTCCTAAGCATTGTATTAATTTTAATTTCAGCATCAGTATGACAACCTGTTCCACCGTGGCCGCCCTGGGAATGATGCCACTCTGCATTTATCTCTACGCCTGGTCCTGGAGTCTTCAGCAGAATCTCACCATTCCTTATCAGAACATAGGTCTGTATGGGCCTGGGAAATGGAGGACTAACAGTAATGGTGATGACACTAATAGTAGCTGCTTTTAATTACATAACTCTTTATGCAGGGACTTTTTTTTTTTTTTTTAGTACCTAATTTAATTCCTTAAAGAACCCTACAGTGTAGATTCTGTCACCAGTTCAATCTCCTAAACCTTTAGGCTTCAAGAGGTTTAGTAACTTGATCAAAATTATGCAGCTGGTGAGTACAGAACTGGAGTTCTAACCTGGGAATATGACTACAAAGTGCAAACTTTCACCCCTACAAGAGTGCATTTTTGAAAAAAAAAAGAAAGCCAGATAATTTACTTTGAAAAAGCAAGGATCAAACCCTTCTATAACTAGACTATAAAGCAACTGGACTCTTTATGCTCCAAGGTTTAACTGGATCTAGTGGCTCTAAGTAGACCTTCCTGTGACCACCTTTCACATTGCCTGCGAACCTTGACTTTTTCGTGGAGGTTGAATGTAAATAATTCTTACTGATTATGAAAACTCATCTACATGTCACAGTCACACCCATATCTCTTTCATTGTCTCCTCTTCTGAATACTATTTCTCATTAAAGTCTGCCATTTTCCTAAAGATCTCTGTGGGTTTACCAAGCTTAGAAGAGAAATGTGGTGAAATGATCTGCCTTTTCTAGTATGGTCAGTTTTTGGAGAAGTGATAGGTACTATTTTTTTTTTTTTGAGAAAGAGTTTTGCTCTGTCACTCAGGCTGGAGTGCAGTGGTGTGATCTCGGCTCACTGCAACTTCTGCCTTCTCCTGCCTCAGCCTCCCGAGTAGCTGGGACTACAGGTTCACACCACCACACCCGGCTAATTTTTTTTGTATTTAGTAGGGATTGGGTTTCACCGTGTTGCCCAGGCTGGTCTCAAACTCTTGAGCTCAGGCAATCCGCCCACCTTGGCCTCCCAAAGTGCTAGGATTACAGGCTTGAGTCACCACGCCTGGCTGACATTATGATTCTTAAGACTGTCAGTGTCAATCTGGTGTATCAGATAAACACCTTGAGGGCTTACAACCCATGGCCCATAGTTCAAAACCATGAATGAAACCACTTCCTCACAACAGCGGGAGCCCACTGAATCTGTAAAACTTGAGGGAAACCTTAATTTAGAAACTATGATTTTATGTGCAACTTTTTTCTGATCAGTAAGTTATTTAATATATTCTGCTTTGATAATATGTTCTGAAAGGCACTCACAAACAAGACACAAAATGTTATGAGGAGCTTATATAACTTTGGAGCCAATATTGTAGGCATTCGTCCAGATTTGGAAAGTGGCATGGGAAAATGTCAGTTTAAAGCTGTTATCTAAATGAAATGGAAGTTGTTGAGAAGTGCTGTGCAGTCAGGGTGACAGGGAAAACACTGATGGATTTTTCTTCTCTTTAGGAATTACCCTTGTGTGCCTGACTATCCCCGTGGCCTTCGGTGTCTGTGTGAATTACAGATGGCCAAAACAATCCAAAATCATTCTCAAGGTGAGCAGCTCCCTGGCCACTGTTGGCACATCCTCAGACTCAGGGGCCTGAAAGACGGAAGCGAGCAGTGGCTGGGACAAGTGAGCTTGGCGAGTACAGCCTCACACCCAGAAATTCTCCTTACACGTCCTGCGGTTTTGGATCCAGTGATTGTATTTCCTCCACCCTGTAAGCCTTGCTCTGCCACTCCCATAGGCCTGTACCCCGAGGCTTATGACGCCCTGGAAAACAAGCAACTATTGATTTAGTGTCAGAAAAGCTAAAGCTGTGTGTGGACAGAAGAGCCCAGGCCCATGCATGCACAAGGCTTCACACAGGTGCTCTTGAGGCAGAAGCTGTTTAAGTGAGCATGGAAGGGCGCCCACTAGGAATATGGCTGCTTTATTGGAAGAGTAGGAGGAAGGGCTATCTTGCAGAAGCATTCCTGGGGGCACTGCCAAAGCTGTCATTTGTACACATGAGCAGGGGCTGCTGACTACATGAATAAGACTGTTTAAATGAAATCATCCAGAGAGCACTGAGGAGTCTAGCTATGGAATGATGGTGACTAGAACTTTCTACCTCCTCTTGTCTTTGCAGTCTTGCCCTTTGTCTGCTGGAGAAACAAGCAAATGTCTTTGTTAAACGGTTTTTAAAAATAATTCAAGGCTGGGCGCGGTGGCTCACGCCTGTAATCCCAGCACTTTGGGAGGCTGAGACGGGCGGATCACGAGGTCAGGAGATCGAGACCATCCTGGCTAGCACAGTGAAACCCCGTCTCTACTAAAAAATACAAAAAAACTAGCCGGGCGAGGTGGCGGGCGCCTGTAGTCCCAGTTACTCGGGAGGCTGAGGCAGGAGAATGGCGTGAACCTGGGAGGCGGAGCTTGCAGTGAGCTGAGATCCGGCCACTGTACTCCAGCCTGGGCGACAGAGCGAGACTCCGTCTCAAAAAAAAAAAAAAAAAAAAAAAAAAAAAAAATAATTCAAGAGGCCAGGTGCAGCAGCTTACGTCTGTAATCCCAGAACTTTGGGAGGCTGAGGTGGGAGGATTGCTTGAGGCCAGGAGGCTGAGGCTTCAGTGAGCCATGATCGTGCCATTGCACTCGAGCCTGGATCACAGAGTGAGACCCCATCTCTAATAACAAAACAAAACAAAAAAACAAAACGTGAAGAGGAGGCATTCTTAACAATGATGTGAGTCTCCTAGGGGTGCTTTCCTTTTTTTTTCTGATTATGTATCACTTTAGCAGATAGGAGGTTATAATATGTGTGGCTTTCATGAAAATTTAAAAAATGTTTTGGTTATATTTTACATTTATAAAGAAAGAAACATTTGGGGTTACTTGGAGTTTCAGGTAGTAAATCTCAGTTAGTTTTGTTTTGTGGTTTATCGTTTGGCTCTACCTCACAAAACATTGCCACTCCATATGCCTGTGCCAATGGACCCTGTTTTTCCAGTTAGGCACAAGGCCAAACAACTCCCACCATTCCTTCAGTGCGATGGAGAAGGAGAGGAGAGGGCTTGCCAAGCAGACAAATCAGCTGGGCACAGAGAGCTGGAAGATGGCCTAGTATAGTACATTTGTAATGCACGTGGATGACTTTAACATCAATGGTGCACACTTGATTTTCACTCTCTTTTTTTAGCTGAACTCATGGAATACAGTCCCATCTTTTCCACATTTATTTTTAAAAATTAATTAAGTTTTTGAGACAGGGTCTCGCTCTGTCACTCAGGCTGGAGTGCAATGACACAATCATAGCTCACTGCAACCTTGATCTCCTAGGCTCATATGATACTCCCATCTCAAGCTCTGAGGTAGCTAGCACTACAGGCATGCACCATCCTGCCCTACTAATAAAAATAAATTTTTTTTAGTGATGGGGTCTTGCTCTGTTGCTCTGGTTTGCAACTCCTGGCCTCAAGGAATCCTCCTGCCTTGGCCTCCCAGTGTTGGGATCACAGGCATGAGCCACTGTGCCTGGCCCCTTTTCCACATTTATTATTGTTATTTCAGTAGGAGAAAATTTCCAGTGTGGTAGTTATGATTTTGTTTCAAAACAAGAGGAGGGAAATGATCATGGAAACTTCTTGCTTTTCTTTCTTTCTTTTTTTTTTTTTTTGAGACAGTCTCGGTCTGTCACCCAGGCTGGAGTGCAGTGGCCGGATCTCAGCTCACTGCAAGCTCTGCCTCCCGGGTTTACGCCATTCTTCTGCCTCAGCCTCCCAAGTAGCTGGGACTACAAGCGCCTGCCATCTCACTCAGCTAGTTTTTTCTATTTTTTAGTAGAGATGGGGTTTCACCGTATTAGCCAGGATGGTCTCGATCTCTTGACCTCGTGATCTGCCTGTCTTGGCCTCCCAACGTGCTGGGATTACAGGCTTGAGCCACTGTGCCCGGCCACTTCTTGCTTTTCAAATACTCTATCTTTGATTATTTTTCTTAAAAGGGCATTTAACAACAACAACAGCAAAAATCATGATTTTGGAGTTTCCAGCTCCGTTATCAATCCATCAGTGTCAGTGGAGAAACCAGATACAATTTTTTTACATGTCAGTTTTATTTGCTGTAAAGAGCAGATCAAAAACTCTTTTCTTTTGGGTATTTCATAGGATTTATGGCAAAACATTTAATAATATGCATAAATATTCTACAGCACCTTAGTAAAAAAAAACTAGGCTAATGTTATCATTATTTTAGTATATCTTCATTCTCTGTTCTTAGTTCTATTTTAATTTTAAATCTGACACATTTTCCGAACAAACTTAAGTGTTCCTCATTTGCTCTTGGTGGATTTTAAACTTTGAAATCTTTGGTAGAGAGAGGAAGAGGGGATGTTACATTCAGAGGCTTTCTTTCATTTTTCTTTCTTTTCTTTTCTTTTCTTTTTTAAACGGAGTCTGGCTCTGTCACCCAGGCTGGAGTGCAGTGGCTCAATCTTGGCTCACTGCAACCTCCACCTCCCGGGTTCAAGTAAGTCTCCCGCCTCAGCCTCCTGAATAGCTGGGATTACAGGCATGTGCCACCATACCTGGGTGATTTTTGTATTTTTTTTTTAGCAGAGATAGAATTTTGCCATGTTGGCCGGGATGTCTTAAACTTCTGACCTCAGATGATCTGCCCACCTCGGCCTCCCGAAGTTCTGAGATTACAGACATGAACCACCTTGCCTGGCCAAGAGGCTTTCTTATGTCTTAGCATCTTTTTCTTAGGCAGGGGTCTAGTCTGTCTCTGTATTTAAACAGTAAAAATGACCCCCAGAACACATTGATGGTATATTGGGTATATGGTTTGTTGTCTTCTCTAGTTTCCTACGACCACCCTCCTTCACATCCTGAATCATTTCAAATCAAGTTTGACACTGTAACTAGGTACACAGTTTACTGTCTACATGATATGAACAGGAGCTTGCCAAGATCCTGATTTTCCCAAAATACCCTAGGCCATCCTTCCTTCCTATTTTATCTAAAACTCAAATTTGTTTTTGTTATTGTTGGCTTTTTGTTTCTGTTCTTGTTAAACAACAAAAGTAAGAAACAGTATCCATTTGGGAGAGGATAGAGGACTCCATCAGTATTTCTCATGTGATCATGAGTATTAGCTCAGATTGTCCAATGAAGAATGGGTAGATTTTATTTGGAGGGGAGAAGGACAGGGACCAAAGCAGCAGGCAGCTGCTGGTGGTTGAAGGGGCAGTGGGAGGGGAGGCAGATGGTCAGGCAGGGCAGACTGGAGGTCACAAGCAGAGGGTCACAGAGGTGTGTGCAGGGGTGTTGGAAGCTCATTGTCAGATCCCATTCATTTTGCACTTTTGTTCTACTCACAATAAAACTCTGCTCCCAATCTTCCTGGCGAAATCTTCTACTTGAAGGGAAAAGTAGATGTGCTAAAACAAGACTTAGATTTGTGTCAAATTCCACCCATTTCTAGCATAGGCAAGTTACTTGACCAGTTTGGAACTCAGATTTCTCCTCTACAAAGTGAAATTGGATTCAGTCATCTCTAAGTCCCTACTGTGTTCTAAAATTTCTAGATCCCAAGCATTTTACAACCTCGATGGACTTTGTATCATAGAGCAAAAAACCCTGAGTTTATATGCACTTATTTTATTGTTTGCTTCAGATTGGGGCCATTGTTGGTGGGGTCCTCCTTCTGGTGGTCGCGGTTGCTGGTGTGGTCCTGGCGAAAGGATCTTGGAATTCAGACATCACCCTTCTGACCATCAGTTTCATCTTTCCTTTGATTGGCCATGTCACGGGTTTTCTGCTGGCACTTTTTACCCACCAGTCTTGGCAAAGGTATAGTTGAACTATCCATAAACTTTTTTTTGAGGAAGGTAAAGTTAACACACTGCCACTGGCAGGCTTTGCTGCCTGTGTCAGGAGACATGAAGAGTTTTGACTTACACAGTGGAACGGAGCAGGATAACTTATGGCAATTCATGGAAAATATTGTGGCAATTCTTTATGTAAATTAAAGCAAAGGCCAAATTGATAAGAAGAGATAAATTTAAGTTAAAAAAGAATAGAAAATGACATGTATTTAATTCCCACTTTGTAGAAGAAAGCAAAAAGAGTTATATGCATCAAAAAATACTGGAAGAAATATACCATATGGTAACAATGTTTAATTTTGAGTAGGGAGAGTAAGGATAATTTTAGTTCTTTAGTATTTCCTTGGTATATTTTTGAAGCTTTTCAATAAGTATGGACTACTTTTAAAAGCAGAAAAAATTTCTTAAAGAAAAGTAAATTATGCAGTTGAATTCCAAAGGTGAAAGATGGGAATTTTTAATTGGCTTTATGCTACTTCCAGTCCACTTGGGGAACATTTAGGATTGTACTAAGTGATCGGTAAAGCTTTACCCCATCTATCTCATTTACTTCTTACTACAAGCTTGAGAAGTAGATCCTATCACTACCCTCATTCTACTGATGAGCAGATCCTTCAGAGAAATTAAGTGACTTGACCAAGTTCACAGAGCTAGAAAATGGTGGAGTTAGGATTTAGACCTGGGGTTTTTTTTTTTTTTTTTTTCCCCAAATTTAACAATTAGGAACACAGTCTGTTGAGTGGTTGAAATGCAATTGGCTCTGGACAGAAAGTACTCCTATGGCAAGATGTAGTCCACAATCTCATGTTTTTCATACCCGATAGCCTGACAAAGGCCAGGACTGAGATTTGGCTCATGAATGGTGCAGGTGTGGGTTACAGCTTTGTAGCTTAATCATACTGAGTTTTTGACAAAAGTCTGAAAGAAGTGAGGGTGGTTTGAGGCAAGTGTAGCACGCAATAGAGTAAGTAGAAATAAAGTATGAACACAGAGCTTGCCCTGTACCACTGACAGCAATTTCATCCCCTCATCACACACCCTTGTTACTTTCCCCATTCCAGTCCAACTTAAACACAGATGCTTGTTTGTTTTCTGAAACACCTCTTTTATCTCCTCACTTCCACGTATAAACCCCTGCAGACTCCCTTTATAAATTGGAGACATGAAACTGCTTAACTCAGCCCTCAATGTCCTGCCCAGGTCTTCCCTCTCTTCCCTCCTTTATCTTTTTCAAATGAGGTTTATTTCATTTTATGCAACCAGAAAACCAATAAAATATAGAAAAGTAGAAAGCAAAAAGAAAAATTATTACCAAACTCTTTCACCAAAGACAACCATTTTAGGTATTTGGTCTTTATTTAGGGTTTTTTGTTTATTTATTTATTTATTTATTTATTTATTTATTTATTTATTTATTGAGACCTTTGTTGCCCAGGCTGGAGTGCAACCTCTGCCTCCTGGGTTCAAGCGATTCTCATGCCTCAGCCTCCCAAGTAGCTGGGATTACAGAAGCATGTGCCACCACGCCTGGCTAATTTTTGTATTTTTGGTAGAGACAGGATTTCACCATGTTGGCCAGGCTGGTCTCAAACTCCTGACTTCAGGTGATCCACCCACCTTGGTCTCCCAAAGTGCTGAGATTACAGGTGTGAGCCACTGCGCCTGGCCATGTTTATTTGTTTTTAAGTGTTGTTTAGTTTATGTTGTTTCATATGTCTTTATATATATATGTTTTTCTTTTTGTAGAGACAGGGTCTTACTCTGTTGCCCAGGGTGGTCTTGAATTCCTGGCTCAAGTGATCTTCCCACTTCTGCCTCTCAGTGCTGGGATTACAGGCATGAGCCACCATGCCCTGCATCATATCTCTAACTCAACCTTCCCTTCTCATCTCCTCCAATCTTCTCCTCTGTGCAGATTGGCTTACAGTATATGCAATGCCTGCTGAATAGGCCACACTCACACCTGTCCCTGGCACTTTAATTTTTATAATATTTCCCCCTCATCAAAAGCTTCTTCTATTTTTTCCATCCTTTAATCTCACTCCTCTGTGAAGCCTTCTCTCACCCCTTCTGCCATTTTCTGAATTTCTACATCTGCGTGGCCTTTGGCCATACTTTGTCTTGTGTTGCTGCTGAGCCTTTCCTGTGTGTTTATTTTGTCTTTTCACTCAGATGCCTAGAGCAGGGTTTGCAAAGCCCCACTCCACCGTACCTCTCAGAAGACCACCTGCAGAGTAGGAATTCAGCAAATAACTATGGAATGAGTAAACATTTTCTGTGGCCTGAGGTCATAGCTTCTAATTGTTATGGTGCATATGAGAAAATGTGAGAATAGTTCTTATTGCTAGTGCGTTACTCTTGAAACTTTTTCCCTTTGCTAGGTGCAGGACGATTTCCTTAGAAACTGGAGCTCAGAATATTCAGATGTGCATCACCATGCTCCAGTTATCTTTCACTACTGAGCACTTGGTCCAGATGTTGAGTTTCCCACTGGCCTATGGACTCTTCCAGCTGATAGATGGATTTCTTATTGTTGCAGGTGGGCGAACTCCCATTGGGTAGGAAATAACTGACAGAAAATTGTTCACCCAACTTATCGACCTTTTTTTTTCAATCCAAACTTGCCTGTGCTGCCCCTGTGATGCATTTTTTTTTTTTTTTTTTTTTTGGGGATGGAGTCTGGCTCTGTCCCCTAGGCTGGAGTGCAGCACGTGGCGCAATCTCTGTTCACTGCAAGCTCCGCCTTCCCGGTTCACGCCATTCTCCTGCCTCAGCCTCCCGAGTAGCTGGGACTACACTGTAATACACTTTTTGAAAGCCTGACATTTCTGGGGACGATAAGGTGCATAGACAGGATAGTTTGGCACAAGTGGGAGTTTCATAGAAAAATATATAAAAAATCTGAAAATGAGCTTATAATTATAAACAAATATACTTCACAAAAGTGAATCCATGGCTGGGCGCGGTGGCTCACGCCTGTAATCCCAGCACTTTGGGAGGCTGAGGCGGGTGGATCACGAGGTTAGGAGATTGAGACCATCCTGGCTAACACCTGGTGAAACCCCGTCTCTACTAAAAATACAAAAAAATTAGCCAGGCGAGGTGGTGGTCACCTGTAGTCCCAGCTACTCGGGAGGCTGAGGCAGGAGAATGGCGTGAACCGGGAGGCGGAACTTGCAGTGAGCGGAGATCGCGCCACTGCACTCCAGCCTGAGCCACAGAGCGAGACTCCCTCTCAAAAAAAAAAAAAAAAAGTGAATCCACTATCAGAACTTAGACTTCGTAACTTGTTATGACAAGATCTCCATGAGCAATCATTGAGCTCCAAAGTGACATCTGCTCTTAAGCGTTGGTTTGTTAGGTCTCATTAAAAGCCTTGAGGTCTCCCAAATGCCAAGTTATTTCAATGTTTCTGTGACTAAGACTTGTGCTGAATGGCTGTGAAATATTTTTCAAATATGAAATATTACACATATACAAATACTGAAATATATATGTGTATGCACATATGAGTGCAGCCAAATATACATTACTTTGGAGTTATTTATTATGTGTGTTCACAGAGGATAAATTTAAAAATATATATAATGCAAGAACAGAAAACCAAATACCTCACTTATAAGTGGGAGCTAAACATTGAGTGCTCATGGACATAAAGATGGCAGCAATAGACACTGGGGACTACTAGAAGAGGAAGGGAGGGGGCAGAGGTTGAAAAACGAACTGTTGGGTACGGTGCTCACTACCTGGGTAATAAGATTATTTGTTTCCCAAACCTCAGCATCACCGCATATACCCAGGAAGCAAACATGCACATAGACCCCCTGAATCTAAAAGTGGAAAAAGAAAAATATATATATTAATATGTTCACATACATATATATATATTAATCTTGGGCCATGGTACGTTTTCACTGTTGTTAGGGAATTAGGTCTGAGTAAGACTCAATGATTACTGATAGAACTGATTATATACTGATTGCTGATTGTTATTATTATGTACTGATACAGAAATAACAATCAATATAACAATATAAGGAATACCTGGGGCTTAATTTCCCCAATAGATAAGATAAATCATATTAGAGTCAAACTCTTGGTCTCAGACCCATGTTTTCATTCCTTCTCTTGGAGAGACTGAGGGAAGCATCATTTCTAGCTCATTCCCAGCTCCAGCCCAGAGCCCAGGAGTGTCCTACTCCTAGTAAGCACTTGCAGGATTTGCCAGCTGACTGACTAAGTGAATGAGTGAATGAATGAATATATGAGTTTGTGAGCTGTCAGCAACCTGATGAATGAGCCTCAATCACAAATGGTTCACTCCAGACAAAAGAGTCATTCTGATACACCGAATCCTTCTGTTCCATAACTTTCTCTCTTCCCCCTTCTTTTTCCTGGGTGTTTATACATACATGATGCCACCCAGACACCTGAAGGATTGACAAGTGTACAGTGTCACCAAATTAGACTCTTTGTTAAAGTGATTGTTAATACTTGTATGTTTTAACACTTAGCATATCAGACATACAAGAGGAGATTGAAGAACAAACACGGAAAAAAGAACTCAGGTTGTACAGAAGTCTGCCACACGAGGAAATTGACTTCTTCCAAAGAGACCAATGCCTTCTTGGAGGTGAATGAAGAAGGTGCCGTCACTCCTGGGCCACCAGGGCCAATGGATTGCCACAGGGCTCTCGAGCCAGTTGGCCACATCACTTCATGTGAATAGCAGGGACTTGCTGGTTGGACTGGCACCCTTCTTTTTCAGTGGCCAGTAAAGACAGTGTGCAGCTGACACATGAATCTTGTTGGTAGGGCCAGTGTGAATATTTAAGTGTTCAATGTTAGAATATTTATATGTATATTTTCTTTTCTTTTTTTTTTTTTGAGACAGAGTCTCGCTCTGTCACCTTGGCCGGAGTGCAGTGGCGAGATCTCGGCTCACTGCAAGCTCCGCCTCCCGGGTTCCCGCCATTCTCCTGCCTCAGCCTCCTGAGTAGCTGGGACTACAGGCGCCCGCCACCACGCCCGGCTAGTTGGTTTTTTTTTTTGTATTTTTAGTAGAGATGGGGTTTCACTGTGGTCTCGATTTCCTGACCTTGTGATCCGCCCGCCTTGGCCTCCCAAAGTGCTGGGATTACAGGCGTGAGCCACCGCGCCCGGCCAGAATATTTATATTTTCATGTGGATTGTGAATTGTGATAGGATCACTTTTGGAGATTCCCATTTCAGGGAGTTTCTTCTGAGGGTTAACATATCAATGAGCTGTCTTGTGTGTTCTTGTCTTCCCATGCAGCAAATAGTACCTGGCAGTACAGTAGGTAAAATCCTTCATTAGGGGAACTTATCCTTATGTTGTGTTTTTTTTTTTTTTTTTTTTTTTTTTTTTTTTTTTTTTTGAGACAGAGTCTTGCTCTGTTGCCCAGGCTGGAGTGCAGTGGCACAATCTTGGCTCACTGCAACCTCCACCTCCTGGGTTCAAGCGATTCCCCTGCCTCAGCCTCCTGAGTAGTTGGGACTACAGGTGTGTGCCACCACGCCCAGCTAATTTTTTGTATTTTAGTAGAGATGGTGTTTCACCACGTTGGCCAGGCTGGTTTCAAACTCCTGGTCTCAGGTGATCTGCCCGCCTCAGCCTCCCAAAGTGCTGGGATTACAGGCGTGAGCCACCGCACCCAGCCATGTTGTGGATTTTAATTGAACAAGAATTAGGACTCTGAGGAGATGGCACCTCATCCTGCAGGGTGACACAGACCTGCGTGACTTCTTGACTCTGGGCAGGTCCTCAGGTGCACTGAGAGGAGAACAAATAGCTCTTGTAATAAATGGGGCACTTTTCTCAAATGATTATTATTTTTAAGAAATTGAAAATCTTTTTTGATTATGGGTGTAATACAAGCTTGGAAAAAATTTAAAACACACATAAGGTTAAAATTGAAATGCCCTGTATTTTCAATCTCTAAAAATAGACACATGTGGCTGAGCACAGTGGCTCACCCCTGTAAATTCCAGCACTTTGGGAGGCTGAGGTGGGCAGATCACCTGAGGTCAGGAGTTCAAGACCAGCCTGGCCAACATGGTGAAACCCGATCTCTACTAAAAATACAAAAATTAGCCAGGCATGGTGGTGTGCACCTGTAATCCCAGCTACTTGGGAGGCTGTGGCAGGAGAATCGCTTGAACCCAGGAGGCAGAGGTTGCAGTGAGCTGAGATCATGCCACCGTGCTCCAGCCTGGGTGACAGAGTAAGACTCTGACTCAAAAAAAAAAAAAAAAAAAAAAAAAAAAAAAAAAAAAGACAGACACGTGTATCCTAAGCTGTGTATAAACTGTATCATTTTCAAAACAATGCGATCATTCCATATATTGTTTTGTAAGTCACTTGATGACACATTATGGAACATCTTTGAGTGTCAGTCTGTGTTGACCTACCTCATTCTTTAGAATAGTAGTGATATGGAAGTATTCCATTGCATGGAAGGACTGTAATTTATTTAACCACTGCTTATTCACAGACACTTAGATAGCTTTCAGCTTAACAGTATTCAGTGCTACAAACACTTTTGCCTTTAGGTGCAAGTATTTCTGTAGGCTCACTTCCTATGACTTGAATTTCCAAGCCAATCGCTCACCGAAATGTAGGACAGATTGCTATCTGGCAATGTCGTACAGCAGAGCCCGAGAGTGCCTGATTTCCTACAGTCTCACCAGTCAAATGAACGATCAATTTTGATTGGTTAAAGCATCTCATTTAAAATTTCATTTAAAAACTGGGTGAACTAGAGCATTTTTCACAATCACTTGCCGACTTATGTCCTTTGCCTGCTTTTCTACTGTATCTTTTCCTTTTTGATGTATAGATTTTGAACCATAATGATAAGTGACAATGTGTCCTATGTCTTGTCAACATTTTATCCACTCTTTTATCTTTTGTTATTCTATGTCTTTTGCAGTACAGAGTTTTATTTTTTTAATATGTTCAGCTTATTAATCTTATTAAGAATTTTTTTTTTGGCTCTGATCTCTGCCAATGTTAGCATATTTATATATTTGTGTGGATTGTGAATTGTGATAGAATCTTTTTTTGAGAATGTATTTGGCTCCTCTTCAGGGAATTCTTTCTGGGGGCTTACGCAACATATTTACTAGCTGCTGTGTGTACTTCTTGTGTTCCCATGCAATAAATGGTGCCTGGCAGTAGCTAACATCTGTCCTCTACTAGAAATTATTCAAAATATTTTCCCGTGTGTTTTTCTAATACTATGATGGAGCAAATACATACATATTTATTCTATTTTGAATTTATTTTTCTGTGTGGCATAATAGTCTAATTTTTTATAGTTAATTATCTAAACATCATATATTGAGTCATTATTCTTTTATCTACTGATTTGAAATGCTACCCTTATCACATAACTTCCTATATAATGTGTTTTTGTTGGGACTCTGGTTCCATTTTGTGTGTATTCCTATTTGTAAGTTTTGAAATGTGTGAGAAAGTGTTTTGAGATTTAGTGTGTATAATTTTATTTTGTAAGTATTCCCAATAACTTGTGGGTTAATGTGATGACAATGATTATTGTATTTTCCCACCAATTTAGAAAGCCTTTGTGGTAGTACAGAAGGAGCCCCATTAGGTCTTAGAGCCACGGCACTTTTATGTGGAAAAGAACTATGCAGATTTGTGACTTGTTAATTCTCAACTGTCGCTTTACTGTTCGGAGAGTCCCCTTTATCCATATGATAAATGTTTACATAATGAGAAGCTAGTCTGTGTTATGTTCAGGCACATGGGACATATACAACAGTAATGAGGCAGAAAGGGCTCCTGCCCTCACAAAGTTTATAGTCTAGTAGGGGAATAGATCACTGCAATGAACACAGTTAGGAGAGTTGCAAGTAACAGAAATTTCCAGCTCTAAGATGAGTATTTCCATGAGGTTTTTGGTTTTTTCTTTTTCTTTTTTTTTTTTTTTTGAGACGGAGTCTTGCTTTGTCATCCAGACTGGAGTGCAGTGGCATGATCTCAGCTCACGGCAACTTCCACCTCCCAAGTTCAAGCAATTCTTCTCCTGCCTCAGCCTCCCCAGTAGCTGGAACTACAGGCGCATGCCACCATGCCCGGCTAATTTTTGTATTTTTAGTAGAGAAGGGGTTTCACCATATTGGCCAGGCTGGTCTTGAACTCCTGACCTCAAGTGATCCACCTGCTTTGGCCTCCCAAAGTGCCAGGATTACAGGCATGAGCCACCACACCCGGCCTCCGTGAGTTTTAAAGAATCCACGAAAATGAATTTCTAAATTGTTTCTCCACATAGACACCCAAAACAAAATGGTAAAATTCAGTGCTATTCTGAAAGCATTAACAATATGGTCAGTATTTACAACAGTTAGGACATTCCAAGGATGAGGGACACCAAAAGGATGAGGGATACCAAAGACCGTCCTTTAAGATAGAAACAACACACCAGAAGATGGCCATCTCCATAGATGGTTTGTAAACATGTTACTGACAAGAACTTGAAATAGTGAAGCTGTTCAGAAGGCCACATGTTATCTTTAGAACAAAAAATGTAACTGGAAAAAAGTCCTATTTGAGTAAGCTGCATTCTAATTTATGTAAATAATCATGAGTTAATAAAAGCTGGGACCTATGTGAAACTCAGAAGTGGGGCCAGAGAAATCATGTCAAGCAGAATGAGTCCATGTCTAAGAGGAAAGAGGCAGCTGGATGGTCATCGCAGCAGAGTGCAGTGGAGAGAACACAGGCTGTGTCAGGGCTACCTGCATTCTACTTTTTTTTTTTTTTTTTTTTTGATATGGAGTTTTGCTCTTGTTGCCCAGGCTGGAGTGCAATGGCGTGATCTCAGCTCACTGCAACCTCTGCCTTCCAGGTTCAAGTGATTCTCCTGCCTCAGCCTCCCGAGTAGCTGGGATTATAGGCGCCCACTACCACACCTGGCTAATTTTATTTTTATTTTTCAGTAGAGATGGGGTTTTGCCCATGTTGGACAGGCTGGTCTTGAACTCCTGACCTCAGGTGATCCGCCTGCCTTGGCCTCCCAAATTGTTGGGGTTACGGGCGTGAGCCACCGCACCTAGCGTGCATTCCACATTAATAGCTAGGAGGCCTCTGGAGCTATCAGTTGAAGTCAGTCAGAGCTGAAATTGAATCTTTACCTCAGTTATCTGGGCAACTTTGGGCAAGTGACAATCCCTCTGGGGTTTAGTTTCCTCTCTTAAATAGGTGGATAACACATTCAATCCTGAACACCCTGAAAAGTAGGCAAGGTGAAAACACCTGGTCCAATGCATAAGTGATCAATACTTGTTACATCCCCTTCTTTTTTCTTGTGTAGTCAGAAACACCCCTTGTGTAGAGGATTATTCAGCCTAACCCAGTTAATGAATCACATGTTGGTCTCTAGGCAACCTTCCCATCGGCCTTGGCATGTACTTTCCCCAGCAGGAGGAGCCCCCTCTGAATGTCCAGCCTTCCTCATTCTGCTAGACCCAGCTATAGCTTCCTTGTAAGCTAATAAATCAGCAACATGGTTTATCAGTGTCCGTAGGAATATGGTTATATTTTGGTTGAGTGAATAAAACTATGTCTCTAAACCTGTAAAAATTGAAGGCCACTTTTTTCTTTTTTTGAGATGGAGTCTCGCTCTGTCGCCCAGGTGGGAGTGCAGTGGTGCAATCTTGGCTCACTGCAAGCTCCGCCTCCCGGGTTCACGCCATTCTCCTGCCTCAGCCTCCTGAGTAGCTGGGACTACAGGCGCCCGCCACCACTCCCGGCAAATTTTTTGTATTT